CGCCCCCCCTGCCCCTCTCCCTTTCCCCTTCCCGGCGGATCCCGGATCCCCAGCCCTGCCCTGCGGCTCCCGCACGGCCCGTGGAGCCCCCCCGGCCCCAGGACTCCAATACTCACCTAGACGGACGCGCTCGGGACCGGCCCCCATGAGGGTCCCACAAGATAATGAAAACGTGCATGCAATGCATAGGTGCTTGTGCACAGATACTATTTTTTGACAGTTTCCTTGGGCTATCACGGGCCAACATTTTTCCAAACACGGCCAGCAATTCGGAGCTCCCCGTTAGCCCTTCGAGCGGGGAGGATCGCTGCAGAGCGGCCGCTTTGGGCCTTGCTGAGGAGCAGCAGGACAGGCCACCACGTCCCGCAGCGCCGGAGCGACTGGGATCTATGGGTCCATCCCAGGGGCTGCCCGGCACCCTGTGCTGCAGGGGAGGGATTTATCCCTCCAGCCTCCCTGGGATGGAGCTGCCCGTTCGGGGCTGGAAAGGGGGAGAGACAAAGACTCCGACACCAGGGACGGATTTTGCCACCTTTGCAGCAAGAAGAGGGAATGGCAGCGTGGAAGGGGAGTGGGAAGGACAGGCAAAACCCCCCCAGAAGGGGCCAGTCTTGCTAGGAAGGGGCAGTGAGTTCCTGAGGCTTTGATAAAATTCGACTCAAAGGGACAAAAAGCAGGGCCGGTGTAATAATTTAACGACTTTAATTGCTCTGCTGAGTTAATGGCACCGATTCCAACAGAGCAGGTTTGACCCCGGTTTGCAAAGAGGTTAAAAATTAACTACTCGTCTGGCCAGAGTGTTAACCTTGAGGTTATAATGACATGCGAGGAAATAAAACCTGCAGCCCTGGGAGCCCGGATCCGACGTGGAGCCGCGGAGGGAAGGGGCCGGCAGCCGGAGCTCACCTCGCTTCTGCATGAAGCTGAAGAGGTCGTCGAGGAATTCTTTCCTCTTGGGGTCGCCGTCCAGCTCGTACAGCTGCACAAGGGACAAGGAGAGAGGAAAATTGCCTGCGTGTCCACGCCGGCCCCTCCGGATGGCCCGGGGGAACGCAGGGGCATCAGGGAGGTTCTGCATCTCTGGGGGGCCTGGGAGAGCAGCGGCTCAGGCGCATCCCCGGGGCGACCCTCCCTCCCCTGCCCCGACGTCCCCGGGGCTCCCAATCCACGCGCGCCGCGGGCTCGCGGCCATGCGGACACCAGTGGTGAAAAGAAGGGTCACCCCCGTGTGGGAAGCCAAATTCCTGGGAAACTCGACCCGGGAGGAGCCGGGATGCCTTGGGGAAGCCCGATGCCAACCACAGGCTCCGGGCAAGGCGCGAAACTCTCCGCGCACCTCGCGCAAGCGGCGGGCGCCCGGCCAGGTCACGCAGCGCCGGCCGGGGCCGCTCGTCCCGGGGCGCTGGAAGCTGCTCCGGCCGCGAGGTGCCCGGCCTGACATTTCGGGCCCTGATCCGTCCCGACAGCTGCGGCGCCGGTGCCCGCGCCGCGGCCGGCGCGCCCG